AAGAAGAAAAAGGGAGTATAAAAGGGTGAATGATATTTTTTCTCATTATATGTAAAACGTTATAATATATATATATATATATATATAAGATAGTATTATATATAATATTTGTATATAATTTATATATTTATAATATTTTTTTGGTATAAGAAGTAGAATTGATTTGTTTGACATTTTTCTTCTAAATCTACATGTTAGTGTATTTATTTTAAAGTAGAAGGGATGGGAACCATTGTCAATTTTATTTTCAAGAAAATGTTCCCTCTGATGATAAAACTTTTTGTTTGGCCCAAGCTAGTGAATAATAGTTACAGATATAATCTATAATTTATATAATATTTCATTAATATATAAAATATATAAGAAAATTGATACACAATTAAGTTTTTATTATGTTTTATTTTAATTTTTATATAGGGGTATTTTTGTCTTTTAAGTGTAATTCCATTTCCATGTCTTGCATACCAAACAAAAGTAATGCAAGGATTCCATCTAATTTTTCTGACATACCAAACATATTTTTATAATTCAATTCTATTCCAATTCTAATTCCAATTTCAATTCCAATTTCATCAAAAATTATTACATCATACCAAACGAGGACTTATTGTATATGAAAGCAGATTGCGAAATTGACCACCATACTACAGGAAAAAATTTCATTTACCAGAACACTACAGACTCATAAATATTTATCAGAATACTATGAATTGAAAATTGATTTTAGCAACACCAAGTTCAAATTTTATTTTTCAGCGTCAGAAGCACATAACTCGGCCTATCTGACATTGAGTTTCATACAACTAATTTTTTTGAAAAAAATGTGTGTCAGGGAGACATGACTATCACTGCCTCTGCAACCCTAAGCCTAAGCCCTAACCTATTCTTTCCCTGTCTCTCTCGCCAATAACTCGCCCCCCCTCCTGCATGCTCAAGCAGCCTGCCTAGACTTCCACACCTCATGAACATAATATCAAAAAAAAAAAATATATATATATATATATATATATTTTATTAAAATATATAAATAATAATTAAGTTTTTTGAAATATCATGTGTTTTAAGTTTCATCTGAACTCCGAATCAAGTGAGACACCTGACGGAGGTGATGCCTGACTTGACCCGGGTGCAGTCTCATGTAGGAGAAGGGAAGCTGCTTAAGTTTGTAAGAGGGGAGGGGGAGTTATTGGGAAAAAAGGGGAGAGAAGAGTCTAGGCTTTAAGAATGCGGATATAATGATAATCATTATTGTCACATCTGACATAATTTTTTTATATAGTAAACATAATATTTTATTTATACATTTTACTCATATTTTATTTATATTTTTAAATTTTTTAAATTTTAGTAAAATATAAAAACCTTAAAAGAATTTAAAATAATAAAAAATATAAATATAAATATTAAAAATATTAAAAAATATAAAAATTAAAAGTAAAATGTGAATAAAATATAAAGATTAAAGTTCTATTTGGTTCAAGGAGGAGGGAGGGGAGAGGAGAGAGGAGCTCCCCCCAATTGGGGGGAGGTTTTGGAAGGACTCCCCTTCATTTCACCAAACAAGGAGAAGGAAAGGGAAGCTCTCCTCCACCCCAACCAAACAATGTCTAAAAATTATGTTTATGTTTTTAAGTTAATTATACAAAACTTGGTGTCACATAGCCTAAGTTATGTAGTTCTCACATTGAAATATAAAATATAAACTTGGTGCCAAAGAAACCAATTTTCAATTTGTAGTGGTAAATACTTTTGAATTTGTAATATTTTAATAAATAAGTTTTTTTTTTATATAGTAGGGTGGTTAATTTGCCATGGACTGTCTTGTATTCTCGCGAATATTATAGTAGCAGAGTGCTTTGTATTTTCACAAACTAGTCATTGATTTGTTGAGGTTACTGAAATTGAACTGCATCTAAAAATATGATAAATATTGAATTGGCTTATAGACTAGTAATGCAGTTGAAATCTTAAAAAAAAAAGTTTTAAAATGTAATTAATTGTGAAACCAATGAATTGATTTCATGTTTGCATTTGTCGAAGATAATAAGAAGAAATATTGATGGCTTGAATTTAAAAAAGAAAAACAAGAAGAAGAAATGAAGGCTCTCACATTAACGATTGTGTTAACTTGCTGAAGTTAGGGGAGGAAAATAGTAAGCACTGGATCACAAATTCAAATGAGATGGCACAAAGCAGAGTGAATACATTTTTAACATTATTATATTTTCCGTTAGGTCTCCGAACTAGCTTTTAGCGGTCTGAGTGCGATACTGACTCCTAGTTCATAACCGCGTGGACTTAATCTAAAACTTCTAGAGCATTTAAGAATTCGCTAGCCCTAGTTTAACTCTTTATAAAATGACAACTAAAAACCATTATCAGTTTCCGTATTTTAATTACCTTGCATTTTATTTTTGACAGCTCTGTTCTTGGTCTCCCCTAGATGGGTCATGATCCATGAGTCCCTGCGTGGCGTACAACTCATTATAACCCAGGGATATTTGGAGGTCCTGGTCAAGCACAGAGAATGTCTTTGAATTTGGATCAGGGTCTTCATTCATCAACCTCCAGCTAGCTCAGTGCCCTGTGGATCACGGTTTAGCGTGTGAATTTTAAGCCATATTCCAACATTAAGACCAAAGACCAATATAAATGAGCCGTGGAACTTGCATTTATTGAGCTTGCAAAGTACACAGCAACCATCCATGGTTGAATCTGCTAAAGAGGATTGGGATGACCCAGATATGGTAGAGCATTAATAAATTCACATAGAAGGACACATAACACTTATCATGTAGCAGTACATGACCATTCAACATTTTTTATTTCCACATTCCTTGCATGGCAGGACAAGTTCTGATTCATGATGAGTAGGGACCCATGGACTTAGAATTTTAGACTGGTTTCAGACGGGACATTCATTTATAGCACCTGTGGATTTATTTAGGATCCTTCGCTTTAATTGGTTGCGTAATGATCATGAACGACCATGCTAAACCCCAGGGGAAGTCATACCAGGAGAGTGATGTATTTCATTCACCGCAATGGTATTTTCACAAGAATGTCAGAAGTCAGGTAACATGTTCATATTTGCAAGTAAAGCCCATCCCGTTGGATTCAATGAACACGATGCCATAAAGAGTGGATAGTGGAGCAGGACAGGGCAGGAATTGAGCTGTCAAAGTCGCTTAGGGTCTACACTTTTCCCCAGCTTCACCACTAAACGAACAGAGCTTTTAAGTGGGAAGAAAAAATTAAAAAAGGACTTCGTTATGGTGGGAGTAAGCCGTAAAGTGGAGTTCGCTATTGTTCCTCTTTTCATAATACAAAAGGTCCACACGCTTAAGACTCTCTGTGATGGCTAGAAAGCAATTGAAATCGAACCCCGTAATTAACAAACATTATCACAAACTACAAAAGGTCTAACTACTTCCACCGCAAAGTTGAAACCTCGAATATTTTTGTGGAAAACTCGATCAGAAGATAGAGCCCGAGACTAGAGTAATAATTCTTAGAACCGTAATGTGTCGTAGATGCTAGAATAGAATAACATAGTTATTATTGTTTTTCAATATTTGAAAGGTCGCAATCGTTTATGGCAACTTGAGACTTTGGATCGCCCATGGGTTGCCTTTTTTTTACTTGGTGTGTCCAACGAGCTGACCGGCTCTACACCAACCTTGTCCCCACTTCGTGGCCTGTTAGTCTCCCATCGCACACAGATAAACATGCAGTACATATAAATATTCAGGTACGTATAATATATTAGGTGAGTCTTGAATAAATATACGCGCGCGCGCGCACTGTGATATTTTTTTCTCCGTGGAGTCGCTGGATGTCTTTGTGAATACATTGGAAGAGTGATTAGGTGGTGGTTAAAGGGTAGAAACATAGCATTGTCTCAGTGGTGGCAGCAACAGCAACCCCAATAACTCTCACTCGAAAACAAACCGTTTTCCCAACTGATGAGGGCCACCTGGCACCAAGGAATTGCGTTGAGGCAATAATTAGTTTAGAGTGGACCATGTGTACGTCTATAGACGGATGCTATCCTTGGCAGGTTTAGACAAAACTAGAATATTGAAGCACTCAGATACAGTAAAAAAAAAAAAAAAAAAAGGATAATGGATATGCTTCATGGGATCCATCTCAGATTCATGGAAGTTGTCAATTGGAGTAATTAGGTAAGATGTTTAGTCCACGTATCAAATCGGTTCAGGGATTAGATTTTTCCGAGGAGGAGAATATGTTTATCTTCGCTTTGTCCTCCCGGGCTGCTATGGCTGTAACTTGTGTTGTCTGTTATGATGCCGATTAACCTGGCGAGAGGAAAATGAGCAAAAACGGACAAGAGGGGATCGTTAATTCTAGCCCCATAACGTCTAATCTCGCGCAAACCCTTATTGTGCACGTAAATTAATTAGTTTCGGGAGGATGGTTATTAGACCGACGAATTAGCAGTTGCTGCGTCTTTAAGCTAACTAAATTATTATCCGGAGATTATGACTTTTCGGTAGGACTTGAGTCCGAGAAAGCTGGAGTCTGAGAATGACACGTTTTCTGTTAATTTCCTAATTTCCCCACTACGACGAATTTAGTTTTGAAATTTTAGCTATCCCCAACCATTCCTACGGAAATTTTCTCCCCCTCCCTAAGAACGTCATCGCCCTCGCATCATTCTTCAAAGTAGACAACAAACAGAACAACGCCGCGTTTGGCATATGAACTCCTCTTAATTTCTGTGGAGGTCCGGGGAGGGCATAGAACTAAATGAGGGCTGAAATTTCACATTGACAATCAAACGAGTTTTAATATTTATTTTATTTTATTTGATCGGACGCAAACTGGGGGAGAGAGGGCAGAGTGGAGAGGGGGGTTTCATAGTCAAAGAGGTGGAGTTTTCAGACGAGGCAAAGCTGACATCATTGACCCAAGTGATGACGCTGCTGCTGAGCCTTGGCCGGGTTCTCGTTTTCTATAAAGACCTCTCCGTTTCTCTCAACTGCCTCGTACACAAACACAACACAAGAGCCAAACACTAGACAACAATCTCACTTCTGAAGTAAAGCCATACGCATGAACATGATGGAGGGCAGTGACGCAAACACTCTTGCTTCGCAATCCCCCACTAATTCCTCCTCTTCCACCCAGCAAGTGATCGCCAGCCCTTGTGCCGCCTGCAAGATTCTGAGGCGTAGATGTGCCGACAAATGCGTTCTCGCTCCCTACTTCCCTCCCACCGACCCTGCCAAGTTCACCATCGCTCACCGTGTCTTCGGTGCCAGCAACATCATCAAATTCCTCCAGGTTCGACTTCCTCGCTCTCCCATTCCTTCTTCTTTTCTCCTCTCTTCTCTTTTAAGTACGTAGGGTAAGTGCTCATGCCTGTGACTTTGATCCCCTTTGCATTTTCAGGAACTTCCCGAGGGTCAGAGAGCTGATGCGGTGAGTAGTATGGTGTACGAGGCGAGTGCGAGAATAAGAGACCCCATATATGGGTGTGCTGGAGCCGTGTGCCAGCTTCAAAAGCAGGTGAATGAGCTCCAAGCGCAGCTAGCCAAGGCTCAGGCGGAGCTCGTCAACATGCAGTTACAGCAGGCCAATCTGGTGGCTCTGATTTGCATGGAAATGTCGCAGACCTCTTCCACTCCTCAGGAATCTGAATCGCCCCAGCATTCCGTGGACAATTTCATTTCAACTCCTCCCCACGCCAACGCCAATCAGAGCAATCTCAACTTCTTCGACGACGGCGCGCTGTGGGAGCCTCTCTGGACATGAACATAAACTATTTATTAATTTCTTATTCTCAGCATATTACCTGATTATTATAAAGTCATTTGATAAGTGTTTCCGATGACATTCTCCTAAGGAGAAGTTGAAGGAAACGAGTCCAGGGCAGCTAAATAGGAACTATATGCTGTTAGGTCATGGGGCGGCAAAGTTTACAGGAAGGTGTTGTAATATGGGATTCAATTCAATCTTGTAGTGACAAGTTGTTCCTCCCTGCGATCTCTGCAATTGCAGCGTCGGAGAAAAAGGAAAAGGGCCTGTCGTGTTTCGGAGTCGCTCTCGTGCGCTGATCTTTTGAGTCTTAAACACCTTTTTGGTCACCTAATATTGATCATTTTTAAAGGCTGGTGTTTCCTGGACGCTCAATTCCTTGTCAAAGCAGTTTTTGACCATCTCTTGGCTTCGGAATTTGTGGTTCTCTCCAAAACCCCCGTTTTTCATTTCTGAATTTTCTCCAGTAACAGGGAGTACTTGAAATACTCTTCAAAAACTAGAAAACCTTAAAATACGACTCTCGCCTGGAGTATTTGCTTTTCCCAGCAGCCTCGTGCTATCCAGTTCCGAGGAGATTCAAATATGGAAGCCTTTTAAGACAAAATCAATTAAGAGCCAGTTGTGGAAACATTGGCATTGGAAGAGAAAAAGAGATCGCGGTTAATGATCAGCAAAAGCGAAAAAGATGCCTCCCTAATTGAATAAACTCAACTGAGGAGAGATAAACAACAGTGACAGAAGAATCTTCTGACGTTGGATTTTGTCCCCCCCCCCCAATTTATCTTACTGTTGTTAATTATAATTAACAATATATTATCATTAAATTAAATTAAATTAGTAATTAAATGAATGAATAAAATTAAATACTGAATTATGTACTGAGCGGATGTGGTGTCCAACCACTTCTCTCCACTATTTGCATGTATGATGTGCAATTGTAGTACTCTACTCGAAAAACTTGACTTGGGGGATTATTTGAAAATAACACGGATAAAGATTCATGTTATATCAAATTCGTAGATTCCATCGCAGTCGTCATCAAGGATTCACCAATGACCAGCTGTGCCAATATTTTTGCCCTTTTTTCCTGCTCAGGACTTGAGAATAGTAATTCTCATGTCATTTCTTGAATTTATGGAACGCAAGTCATATTTCAAAAAGGAAGAATCCAACTAAAATTTATTTTTAAAAAGTAAATTTCAATAAAATGTCAATGGTTAATAATAAAAAAATGGAGAAGATTTATTTGAAATGTAAATGGTAGAAATTTACTTGGATATTCTCTACTAATTAAAGTAGCACATGCAAGCGGAACGAGATAGATATGACAGTGGAACCACTTATACTAATTAAGAAGCGGATAATAATTGATGAATAAGAGTATGCTTGATTACGATGTTGCTATTTTGCAAGATTAGAAGATGAATCACCCTAACGGTCCTATAAAACAAAGAAAATGCAATCAAGGGGCGTGGGGCAGGAAAATTGAAAGTGGAGGCGGTTAACCAAGAGTTAGAGGGATGAACAAATTGACATAAGCTAAATCCACTAATAATAATAATATGCATTGCTCCAACTTTTATTCTCTGACCTTCCCATACAGCACCCTGTCTGGATTGATTGTACATAAACCCGGGCGATGAGGGCATTGACGGGTTTAAGATTAGATAAATCGACATTGCACGTGGCTGTGTTTGTGGAAGCTGTGAATATGTAATCAATCACATGGATATTGTCTACCCACAGTCCCAAACTTCATCCCGGCCCGCTCTTTTTCTTTTTTTTTTTTGCCCCGGTGAATCCTGAGCCGAGACTTGTCTCATCTGGTCATCTCAGCCGCGTCGTTTGGGCTGCTGCATTCCAATTCACGTGCTTGCCCACGTGACTTGATCTCTCGCTTCCCTGCCGCGCGCCCTCCAGCCTTCTTCCCTTGTCGGCGTCTCCCTCCACCACTATTCCTCCCTTCTCTTACCGACTTAGCTCCTCCCCACAAACCTTTTCCACTATTACCTTAAAATGAAATTTAAACCATTCAAATTTAGTTTAAATTAAATTTTAAAAGTTAATATTTAATATTTTTATTTTTTAATTATATTTTTATTTTATACTCATTAAAATTAAATTTTTTAATAAATCTATTTCATCATCAATTAAGACCATTCATATTTAATTTGAACAGTACAAAAATTAATACTTATTTTTTTTAATTTTTATAAATTAATTGTCTAAATTTATTCTAAATGGTTTGAATTTAAATTTTTTAACTTATAATTTTTTATAAAAATATTTTTAAACAGTGTTGGAAAATTATCTTTACTTTTAATCTTATATTTATTAAAATAAAAATATGCATAAAGAATAAAAACTTTAAATTTAAATAATTTAGATTTAATCTAAATCAAACCTGGATAGTTCAAATTATATTTCAGGACGGTGGAGGGAAAGGGGAGGCGTGGGTTAGCGGATAGAAGCGATGTACTTGTCATACATCTTCCAGTTTGACTTTAATCTTCATAAACTTTTTTCCCAGTCAATCACTCTTTTTGGCCTTTCCACGTCATTTCAGGATGAACTGTAAAATGAAGACAAAGTGTACCCGTGTATACTACTGGGATAACCATGATTTCAAAAATCTGATCCGACCAGTCGATTTAACTAGTTGAACCAAAAACTAACTATTAATTCGGTTCAATCAACCTTTAAACCAGACAAGTAACAAACCGGTCGAAGACCATTTAACTCCATCAAAAAAAGTTATTAACGGGTCAAAAAAGGGATCGGTTTTTAGCAAAAGCCGGACAAAGTTTTTTTTTTTTAAAAAAAAAACAATGCTTGTAATTTTGACACAGGGCAAATAGTTGTACTTTTCACGAGAAAATAACTCTAAGCCCAACAAAGCACCCGGCGTCACGTGTCCGCTCCTTTTTTTCACAGGCAAGCATCATTCTCGCTCTTTGTAAGCTTCCGATGCCGGCTTCCTGCTCTCCAAGCCGACCGCAAGTTTTTCGGGCCAGCTTTTTATAATTGCATTCTGTTTTCCTTCCCCTCTCCCCCAAATCTTTGCTGAATTAATTTACCTAAGTATTGGATTGATTTCTTAAATGTAAGTACAAATATTTAATCTCTATACTTCAAATTATTTATCTATATTTTTTTCAAGCTGCACAATTTTTTATTTAATTTAGTTAAGCCTCCAGAAATGCTTGATGCTTTATCATTTCTATATATAATAAAACGTGTATTTTCAAATATTAAATAAGCTCACAATATTTTTGAACATCAATAATGATCTTCTTTACTAAATTAAAAAGAAAACAATATCTTAACCTCTTATCTCTTCCTCTCTCTCTCTCTCTCTGTTAATGACGTTAACCAGTAACTTCTTAAATTTTTCCCAGCCAATATTATGTAATAAAAACATTATATATCATAATAATGTAAAAAAAATGAATCCCATCTTATGAATTTAATATTTGTGAAATAATATTTTATAAAATTTCATTATGAATTCAATATTTAATGCATAAAATTACAAATTTATTTAATTAATTATTATGGGTTCAATTATAATCTGACCATTGAACATTAAACCAATGCATCATCCGGTTTAATGGCTGCTTCAATTTTTAAAACCTTAAAAAATACTAATCCAGTAGTCCTTGTAATTTTCCTAAATCTCAAGTTTTGAGTGAGGTCCTTATGATTTTCTTTTTCTTTTTATTAAGTCCTTTAAGTTTATTATGTTATATTTGTTAGTCCTTTATATTTAAAATCGTTTAATACGTGCCAACGGTACTAAAAAATCTGTTAAACAGCAATGAAGTGGCAGACATGTAGGCATGTTTTTAGGATCCAGACAGAACATATACGTCATGTATGAAAATATATATTTTTCTTTTACTTGAAAATTACCCAAAGCCAGGAAACTCTGCTCTGTTTTGGCTCTCATTTGGTGGCTAGGGTTTAGGCACGTAGACTTGCATTTTAAGATGTGTTTGGTTGAAATTTTAAAGAGGCAGAGACCTCTTTTTTTTTTTATTTAGTTAGTGATTAATAAAAGAAGGAAAGAAAAACCTCTTACTTTCTCCTTCCCTTCCTCTTAACCCTTCTCTTCAATTTGGGATTCTTCTAAGGGCAGAGCAAAGAGAAAATAATTAAAATGAATTTAAATATTTATTTTAAAAATTTTAAATTATTTTTTATATTAAAAAATTATATATTATGTTTCTCTCTCTTTTTTATAGTAAAACAAATTTTATTACCTTTCAAAAATTAATATGTAATTTTTTAATGTATAAAATTTTAATGTTTTTTATTAGGCTTGTTGATAAAATATAATGTTTTCTTCAATTTTTTATTAATATAAGATCTTCTTAAAATAAAAACTTAATAAATTCTAATATAATAATTTTTTTCAAAGCAAAAAATAAAAGTTAAGTTAAATTTGATAAAATTAAAATTATTAATTTATTTTTATCCTCCTCCTGTTCTAAATCAAACAAAAATTTATTAAAATTTCTCTCTTTTTTTTATTAAAATCTCTTTTCTTCTCTTAAATCTACACACCCTCAAGAGAGATGAGCAAAAGCAAAGGAAATATCTGTGTTGGGTGGGGACGGAGGGCGGAAGGGAAGATTCCATTGGGTGAGGAGAAGCCGGATATATTCCTCCACATCAAAGTACATCTCGTGATAGTATTTTCTCATCTCTATCTCTTTGATCCAACTTTGTCTACTTCTTTCTCCTCCTCATCCAGCACGCTTAAAACTTTAGCTCTCTTCAAATCGAAGACCAAAGCCCCTTCCAATATATTCATTTTGTTTTTTATTTTAAAATGTTGCCTAGCTATTAATCATGTCGAGAACTTTGATTCTCAATTTGTTACAGCAGGTTGCAAAGCCACAGCCAAAGACAGGCTGAAGATAGCATCTCTGGCATTATCCAGATTACATAAGCAGAGTTGGCTTATTTCATGTGTCTTTATTTTTCCACCTGGATGTTTATTCAGATTTAATGTGTAAAAAATTATCCAATTGTCAACCCCTTTAAGGCTATTTAGTGTGTATCTGGATAGCCGCATTAATCAATTTTTTGAAGAAAAAATTAACTTTGGCTTCAATTATCCAAACATCAAGTTTTTTGGTTAATCGATTTGTAGGGTGAAAATTAATTTTTGTCTGAAGCTACCAATTCAAGCTCTTGCAGAGAGGTTTATCAAAAAACATTAAAAAAAATTACAAAAAAAGGCTCACAAAAAATTGCAAATAAAGCATATAATTTAATAGAAATAAAATCAAACTCTCTTCTCTTCTCTCTTTTTTATAATAAAATTTAAACTTTATATCTTTAAAAAATTGATATTTGATATTTAA